TTCTATCCTTGGTCTTCCCTCCAAATTAATATGCCCATTCCTCCCATACTATATCATCTACTCCTCTGGCTTCAATTACAATCTACTTGCTGATGATCCCCAAATCTATTGACCTCCAGCCCAGTACCTCTTCTGCATCTTACACATCACCAACAACCTAATAAATATTTCTTTCAATGCTCAATCATCACCTCAAACTCAACATGCCCAAAACAGAATCATCATCTCCTTCCCACCTCATCTCCCACCCTCAAATTCCTTCTTCTTCTTCCTGTACTCCCTTACAGGATGGACCACTTCCATCATCCACCTGGTTGCCCAAGTCAGAAACTTGGATGTCATCCCAGACTCCTCAATCTTCCTCACTTCCCACACCCAATCACCAATCACCTTCTAAGTATCTCTCCAATCAATGCAAGTCTCATTTCCATTGTTTTACTTACTTTGACAACTTCACGAGGCTTATTATTTTGAATTTTGTGTTATTTTGTGATACTTTCTTTTTTTCTTGTATTTTGTTGTCTTACCTGAGCAAAAACTCCAAGAATGGAGAACAGATATCATATATATTTCATATCTAACTCCCTAATGTGTAATTTCCTGATCAACACGTGTTCTCAGCAAAATCTAGTTCTATCAAAGAGAAATTAATACTAAGCATGTATGTCAAGTAGTACATTTTTTCAATGGCATTGTGTTCAAAAACAAGACCCAGTTATTTCACACACAAAAAAAGAACAAAAGTGATAATTTCCTATTATATTAACTCTATCACAACTCCCTAGGGTATGTCAATTATTGCTAAGTGTTCAGTGATAGCTACTCAAGGCCATGCACCATGCTAAACTCTTCACACAAATTATGTACTTAATGTTTACAATGTTATGAACAGGGTACTGTTACTATACCCATTTTCCATAAGCCTAAAACTGGAACTTAAGAGAGCTTAAACAATTGTTTTTAAGATTTTATTTATTAATGAGAGAGAGAGACAGAGAGAGAGAGAGAGAGAGAGAAAGAGAGAGGAGGCAGAGACACAGGCAGAGGGAGAAGCAGGCTCCATGCAGGGAGCCCGACGGGGGACTCGATCCCAGGTCTCCAGGATCAGGCCCTGAGCTGAAGGCAGCCCTAAACCACTGAGCCACCCGGGCTGCCTGAGCTTAAATAATTTGATCAAGGTGCCAAGTTAGAAAAATAACAGGACTTGTGAACCCGTGGCATAGCCTGAGACCAGACTCTCTCTCTTTCTCTCTCTCTCTACATATATATATATATATATATATATATATATATATATATATATATTTTTTTTTTTTTTTTTAAATAATCTCTACACCCAATGCAGGCAAACCCACAACCCCAAGATCAATCGTCCCTTGCTCCACCGACCAAGCCAGCCAGGAACCCCTTACTATTTTCCCTCTTAAGGATAAAAGGACATATGTGTTTTGAAGCTCGAAAGAAAAGAATAATTAAGCACAAAGCTTAAATCAAAAAGATGTCAGTGTTAAACGAAAAACGTGCCCCAACAGAGTAACGCTATGGAAGTCCAGGTAGTTAAGAAAAAAACTGGTCGGTCCAAAAATCGACAAGAAAGATCAGCAAACTACAAAGATCCAGAGCCACTGAAATAAAATTGTCCAAAAGGGAAAAAAAAAAAAAGTAATGCGTTCGAATGCTTCTCTTCTCGGGACATCATAATAAAAGCAACACGGTCTAGTGTCCTACGCCTTCGTGTGTTTTACAAGGGGAGTCGACAAATGTCAGAGTCCCCTGCCGTAGTCGGTCTGGGTGCTAGCGACCCACCCACCAGCGGCAGGTAAAAGGTTCGGAAACCTCCAGCGCGACCGCGGGCTTACTTCCAGCCTCGTCACGCAGGAGCCAAAGGGCCGCTGTAAGAAGAACCCTGCGCATCATCCGCCTTCGGCTGGCGCGCAGTCGGATTCCCAGGCTGTAGACCAAGAGCAGGCTTCAGCCCTACGACCCGTGCGGGGTCCGGCAGCTGCAGACCGCAAGCTCCCAACTTTTCGCTCCGACCATACGTTTTATTAGATTCCGGGTGCAGGGAGCCCACTTTGCAACGCGGAGCCTCCCCGGTGCAAACCGAGGATTCGGGGGAGATCTCCCGGGAAGGGGTGGGAGGCGTGAGGACGCGGGGGGGGGGGGGCCTGCCACCGGCCAGGAGCCCGCCGCGCGCGCCCAACCTTTTGTTGGGGAGGAAAAGAGGGCGGACCCCCGCGCCTCCGCCCGCTAGGGGGCCAGCGGGGTGGGCGGGGAGAGCGAGGGCGCGACACGCCGCGGCGGCCCCAGGCCGGCCCGGGGGTGGGGACACAAAGAATTCGGGGAGCGGGGAGCGGGGAGCGCCGAGCGGCGGCCCGACGGGCTCCCCCAGCCGGCCTGCGAGGAGCGGCGGCCGCACTCCAGGCCCGGGGGGCCGGGGAGCCGGGAGCCGGCGGGGGCGGCGGGGGCGGCGGGGGCGGGCGCGCTGGCGAGCCCGGGGGCCGGGGCTGCAGGGCGACGCGAGGCCTCGGCGGCCCCCTCCGCCCGGCCGCGCACCAGGCCGCCGGATCCCCGCGCCCGCGTCGCCACACCCACCCGCCTCCGAGGCCCGGCTCCGGGGGGCTCCCGGCTCTTCCTCCCGCGGCGGCGGCGGCGGCGGCGACGACGCCGGCGACGCCCCCGGCGCCCGACATTTACCTGCTGATCTTCTGGGCAAAGGCGCGGCGCTCGGCCATGGCTGCGGCGGCGGCGGCGGCGGCGGTCTGGGCGCGGACGGGCGGGCGCGTGCCTCCTCGCTCGCGCTCCCTCCCTCGCGGCCTCCGCCAGTCCCAGCTCCGGACCCGGGAGGCTGGGGCTGGCGGCCGGAGCCGGGAACGAGCCCTGCCGTAATGCTCCTGAGAGGCGCGCAGCGAGAAACCGCTCCTCCCCGCCCTCCCCGCCCTCCCCGCCCCCCGCGCCAGCGCGCCAAGCCCCGCGGGATTCCCGGGCCTCGGAGCGCAGCTGCGGCCGCCTGGAGCCCGGGGGAAGAACCCGGCGTGGAGGGGAGCGGCGCCCCGCTCCTGGCCGCCTCGCCGCCGCGGGGAGGGACACGCAGGCACAGAGGGGCCGGCGACTTGGCGAGGCAGAAAAATAAGGTTGCAGAACGCGTGGGGAGACCGGGGAGGAGGCGGGAGCGGCGAGCTTGGCTTTCCCGAAAAGGAAGGGGAGGAAATGGAAGATGGGCTTTGCCGAGCGGGGTTGTGCTCGCCGCGCGGGAGGGCCGGGTTCTGGTTCCCGCAGCGCCCACCTCCCGGCCCTTTTTGAAAGCACTTTCTGTTCTGCTCTGACCTTGTGGATGGGGTCTGACCACAGAAAGGACGGGTTTTCTTGTAGAAAAGGACCTAAAAAAAAAAAAAGACCTTTCTCCTAAAGAGGCAACAGGGATAATAGTTGGCTTGTGGGGCTTAGCCAGGCACAGATTAAAGTTTTACGCGCGTGATCTTAATCGCCACAACTCTTTGAAGTGAGTTCTTATTATCCTCATTTTAGAGACTAGGAGATTGGTTCAGAAAAGCTAAGCGCCCGGCCCCAGGTCACGCAGATGTTAACCTCTTCAACTGAACTTCAAACCCAGAGCCCAATCCTTTAAGAGAAGAGTTTCTCCGTTGACAACACTCTTCCTGAGACTATCCCTACCCCCCCCCACCCCACCTTGGGACCTCATTTTCCATTTGTGAGTGTTGGACTAGATGAGTTCCAATGTGCTTTACCATTCTGACAGTCTATTGAATAGTCTATACCTTTACCACTCAAAATGATCTTGCCTGTTGTTTTTTTTTTTTTTACTTTACTACTAACCAAATTTGAGACCTTATTGAGATTTTACCAGTTTTTCAATATTTTCCATTTGAGGATCGCACATAACATTTAGTAATCATGTCTTTAGTTTCAATTGGTCAGTGACAGTTTTTACTCTTTGCTTGCTTTGCTTCATGATCTTGACAGTTTTTTTTTTAATTGGAGTTCGATTTGCCAGCATATACCATAACACCCAGTGCTCATCACCCAGTCACCCCACCCCCACCCCCACTTCCCATTCCACTACCCCTTGTTCATTTCTCAGAGTTAGGAGTCTCTCATGTTCTGTCTCCCTCTCTGATATTTCCCACTCGTTTTCTCTCCTTTCCCATTTATTCCCTTTGACTGTTTTTTATATTCCCCAAGTGAATGAGACCATATAATGTTTGTCCTTCTCCAACTGACTTACTTTACTCAGCATAATACCCTCCAGTTCCATCCACGTTGAAGCAAATGGTGGGGATTTGTATGATCTTGCCTGTTAAATCTTATAAATCAGGGACTAGCAAAAATCATGTCTTCTCATTCTGTTGTAATGCCAAAGAGTCTAGAATGTTTGAGTCCTAATGCCTATTTGATGATTACTGATGTTATGGTGAAACTAGAAAAAACATCTCAGTTTCTTGTAGTCCCTTTACTCAAGTATTGCAAGCATTTATGTGTATTTTTTTATTATGTTCTCTCTGTGTCATTGTGAGGTACGCTGGATTCTTGTTTTCCTCTCTTTTACAGTTGGAAAATCTGTAGCATAGAGCCATTTGCTCAGTCACGCACTGAGTCAGGGGTGAAAGCCTCAATTAGTCAGATCCATAACTTCCTGTCTAGTTTTCTAAACACTATGGAAGGCTGTATTTTGTATGACAATGCACATTCCAGTAAAGATAATCCATTCAAAGAGGATTTTTGTGTAACTTCCACTTAAATGTATAGCCCACCTAGATATTCTAGAGAACACAAAGCTGAACTTTGAACTAGACTCAGTCCTGCTATCAGGAAGTTTGAGTCCACTGGGAAAGATGAAACAGCTATTCAAAGAATTACAAGTCAAATCCAACACTGTATCTTGTCCTTGATAGGAACTCCATCATATTCTATCACTTTCTTAGTATGTGACCTTGGACAAGTTACTTCACCTTGACTCTAAAATGAGGGGAGGAGAGCGGGCGAAGCCGTCAGGAGGTCGGCAGTGAGGATCTGTTTCCAGCCTAGCATTGCAAACCACAATGAAGAACCAAGACAAAAAGAACGGGGCTGCCAAGCAGTCGGGCAACACTTCCAACCCAAAAAACAACCCGGGGCAAGTGGAAGTAGGACCAGAGGGAACCCAGGGGCGCCCCAGCCAGCCGGCTCCTCCGACAGAAGCTGAAGGTTCCTCCAGCCAGGCTCCAGGGAAGACTGAGGGAGCACAAGCCAAAACTGCTCAGTCCGGGGCCCTCCGTGATGTCTCTGAGGAGCTGAGCCGCCAGTTGGAAGACATCCTGAGTACATACTGTGTGGACAACAATCAGGGGGGCCCAGGTGAGGATGGGGCACAGGGTGAGCCTGCTGAACCCGAAGATGCAGACAAGTCCCGGACCTATGCTTCAAGGAATGGGGAGCCTGAGCCAGAGACCCCAGTAGTCAATGGTGAGAAGGAGACCTCCAAGGGGGAGCCGGGCACAGATGAGATCCGGACCAGTGATGAGGTTGGAGACCGAGATCACCGAAGGCCACAGGAGAAGAAGAAAGCCAAGGGTCTGGGGAAGGAGATCACGTTGCTGATGCAGACATTGAACACCCTGAGCACCCCAGAGGAGAAGCTGGCAGCTCTGTGCAAGAAGTATGCTGAACTGCTGGAGGAGCATCGGAACTCCCAGAAGCAGATGAAGCTGCTGCAGAAGAAGCAGAGCCAGCTGGTGCAGGAGAAGGACCACCTGCGTGGGGAGCACAGCAAGGCTGTCCTGGCCCGCAGTAAGCTAGAAAGCCTGTGCCGGGAGCTCCAACGCCACAACCGCTCCCTCAAGGAAGAAGGCGTGCAGCGGGCCCGGGAGGAAGAGGAGAAGCGCAAGGAGGTGACCTCCCACTTCCAGGTGACGCTGAATGACATTCAGCTGCAGATGGAGCAGCACAACGAGCGCAACTCCAAGCTGCGCCAGGAGAACATGGAGTTGGCTGAGAGGCTCAAGAAGCTGATCGAGCAGTACGAGCTGCGGGAGGAGCATATCGACAAGGTCTTCAAACACAAGGACCTGCAGCAGCAGCTGGTGGACGCCAAACTCCAGCAGGCCCAGGAGATGCTGAAGGAGGCAGAGGAGAGGCACCAACGAGAAAAGGACTTTCTCCTCAAAGAGGCAGTGGAGTCCCAGAGGATGTGTGAGCTGATGAAGCAGCAGGAGACCCACCTGAAGCAGCAGCTTGCCCTATACACAGAGAAGTTTGAGGAATTCCAGAACACTCTTTCCAAAAGCAGTGAGGTGTTCACCACATTCAAACAGGAGATGGAAAAGATGACTAAGAAGATCAAGAAGCTAGAGAAAGAAACCACCATGTACCGGTCCCGTTGGGAGAGCAGCAACAAGGCCCTGCTTGAGATGGCTGAGGAGAAAACACTCCGGGACAAAGAGCTAGAGGGCCTACAGGTAAAAATCCAGCGGCTAGAGAAGCTGTGCCGGGCACTGCAGACAGAAAGCAATGACCTGAACAAAAGGGTGCAGGACCTGAGTGCTGGTGGCCAGGGCTCCATCACTGATGGTGGCCCTGAGCGAAGACCAGAGGCTGCAGCTGCCTCCAAGGAGCAGGGTTGTGAGGGTCCTGGGGCCCAGTCACCTGGCTCCCCAAGGGTCACAGAAGCTCCTTACTGCCCTGGAGCACCAAGCACAGAAGCACCTGGCCAAGCAGGGCCCCAGGAGCCCACCTCCACCACCGCCTAGGAAACCTGGCACAGGGGGCGTGCTGGGAAGGGAGCAAGCAGCCCAGCCAGGCCTGGCCCATGCAAGGCTCCCACCGCTAGGCAGTCCAGTGCTGAGGCCCAGGGTGCTTTAACCTGGCTGACATCTGACACTTGGCAGTTTTGGATTTTGTGGGTCAGTTTTACTTACATATGGCATATGTGCAAGGCCTCATACATTTCTATCTGTAAGGATTCCCCCAGCAGCCAGTAGAAGTGTTGAGACCTGTTTGCCATCGCTGGCTGAGCTACTGCTCTCCCGTGGAGACGTGTTTCCTAAGATCTTTCCCTCTGAGATGCCTGTATCTGGAATGGTCCCTGGGTCGGTCTGTTCCTTTCCTGATGCGGCTGTCCCCCACCTCCAATCCCTGTATCCGGCTGAGACACGAGAACTGCCAACCCCATACAGGGTTTGCTGGGCTCTGGAAGTGCAGGGAAGAGCCAGAAGCTTCTGCCTGCCCCAAGTAAAGAGCAAGAGGCCTGCAGTAGCCCATGTGATTGCCTCATTTGCTTCAGCTACCTCGTAGAGCCCAAGGGGATTGAAGGGGAAGGCTGTCCCCCCCAGTGTGGGGGATCGTGGCTATGCAGCCCAGCTGCCCTCAGAGACCCAGTCCAGCCATTGTGGGATTGTGGGGCTACAGTGAGCAGGGTGGCCCCAGCCAGTCTTCCCAGGTCCAAAATCCAGGCCCTGGGTGACTAGAACCTTTGCTCTCAGCTCCAGCTGAGTCTAGGCATCCAGGCCAGGCTATAGGAGGATCCCATTCTCCCTCTTCTTTCCGTTGACCAAATCACACTAATCACTACAGCTGCTCTGCTTGTTCTGCTTTCCAAAGTCAACCCAGGTACCTGGGTGCCGCCCTCACCAGGCAGGAGCCTGGGCCAGGTGCAGGAGAGGTGGCCTATCTGAAGGCCAGTGCCTTCCTCACCAGGGCAGGTCCCATGCACGTGACCTCAGTTTTAGGACCAAGAGCTGTGTTGGATTCTTAGATTGCTAGCTTTTCCTCCAGGGGACCATTGCCGGTGAGGCTCACAGCCGAGAGCCCTGGCCCTGCTGAGAGTAATTTGTATTCCAGACCTTGTCCAGCTGAGAGCCTTGTACACCAGATTCTAGAGAGGTATCGGCAGCACTTTTTGTTTTCCATGAGGTTTTTGGACCATGGGCTGAGCTCAGGCACTTTCTGTAAGAGAATGTTGTCCGTAAAGATGGTTGGTTTGCTTTCACTCCTCCACTCCCATCACAGCGGCCCTCCTGAGGGCTGACCAAGAGGCCAGTGGAACTGCCCTGGTGGCTGTGGGGGAGGGCCAAAGCCTGCTGAGCTGATTGTCCAGCTGCTGCTCCAGCCCTCCCACCTTAGCACAGAGGTGGTCACCCCGGGGACAGCCAGGCACCTGCCTGGGGGAGGGGTGCGCCTTCTGTCCCTGTCACTGCTTCCCATATGGCCCTACCTGGCCACCTGGATTGGTTTTAAAGCTGTGCTGATAGCCTTTTTTGTCTCCTTTTGGTATTCACAACAGCCAGGGACATGATTTTGATGTATTTTAAACCACATTAAAAATAAAGAGTCTGTTGCCTTAAAAAAAAAAAAAAAAAAAAATGAGGGGAGGGCATCCCTGGGTGGCGCAGCAGTTTGGCGCCTGCCTTTGGCCCAGGGCGCGATCCTGGAGACCTGGGATCGAATCCCACGTCGGGCTCCCGGTGCATGGAGCCTGCTTCTCCCTCTGCCTGTGTCTCTGCCTCTCTCTCTCTCTCTGTGTGTGTGTGACTATCATAAATAAATAAATAAATAAATAAATAAATAAATAAATAAATAAATAAATAAATAAAATGAGGGGAATACTTGTACCTACTTGAAAGATTATTGTGCAGATTCATTGGGTTAATTCATATAAAATTCTTAGAACAGGGCCTGGCATATGGTAAACACTATATGTACTACTAGCTGCTGTTATTGTTATCACTGTTATTATCATTATTCAACTTAAACTTGTCTTGGGTGCTTGATAGTCCCTGAAGCATTTGTCTGCTCTCATGCTCCCCACCAGATGTTGTATGCCTTTCTTTATCTCTGCTCTCCAAACATCTTTTCACTACTCTCTTAGAGAACTGACCACATTCTGCTTTTGAATGGTTCTTTGTATACATGACTCACTAGTTGCCAAAGTGTCTGAAAGGACATTGCATGCACTGTGCAGCTTGCTGGGAACATTTAGAGCAGGAAGAGGACAAGCAGGACCAAGCTGTAAGCAGGGTAGACAGAGTCTGGGAAATACTCCAAGCTAGAGTGATGGCCCCCACCTCTGGGGAAGAGCTGGCAGTCACAGACAAGTCCAGTGTGTGTATATATCCATGTCCCACAAGGGTCCAAATTCAGGGAAATGCATGGAGTTCAACAAAGGGAGTGACCATGGAATTGCTTTGGCTCACCAGTATCCATGCTCACCATATTATCCCTGAACGTACACACACCCATACCAGTCTCAATCCACCATACTTACATGGAGCTCATTCCCTCACCTCCAGTTTCAAGGATGAACATAGGCCTAAGTCTGGCCAAGCAGAGCAGCATATTCCCCTGGCTTTGGTGACTGGTTTAGGATAGGCACATGAATCAAACCAAGACAAATGGGCCAAATCAGAACTAAAAAATTGTATTTGCTGTACCAGGGACCTCGATCTAAAGACCTGCCTGAGAGGAAAGCCAAACATAGCTGAGAAAAAAGGAAAAATGGATAAAGAGGGCAGCCCCGGGTGGCCCAGCGGTTTAGTGCTGCCTTTGGCCCAGGGTGTGATCCTGGAGACCTGGAATCGAGTCCCACGTTGGGCTCCCTGCATGGAGCCGGCTTCTCCCTTTGCCCGGTATCTCTGCCTCTCTCTCTCTCTCTCCCTGTATCTCTTATGAATAAATAAAATCTTTTTTTTTAATCTTTAAAAAAGAGCTCCTTATAACATAACTTGAGCCTTGGACTTTGCAGTTACATGAACTAATAACGTGCTGGGGTTTGGTTTGGTTTGGCTTGGTTTTTGTTTTTTCATGAACTAATCTGAGTTGGGTGTTCTGTCGTTAGCAAGTGAGTCTTAATACAAGCCTTCATTTAGTCAACTGATACCACAAGGCCCCAGAGAGACAATGATAAATAAGACACTTGTTTCAGGGCAGCCCAGGTGGCTCAGTGGTTTAGTGCCGCCTTCAGCCCAGGGCCTGATCCTGGAGACCCAGGATCGAGTCCCACATCGGGCTCCCTGCATGGAGCCTGCTTCTCCTTCTGCCTGTGTCTCTGGCTCTCTCTCTGTCTCTCATGAATATATAAAGTCTTTAAGATAAAATAAAAAAATAAGACACTGTTTCAGAGTCTGACTGAAAAGATAAGTGAGTAAACAGTATGTTTAAGTGCTAAAACAGGAAAAATTTGGGAAAATTCATATAAATTTTAGATAGCATCAATTCTCAGCATCAGGTGAAGACTAGATTATAACCAAAGTGTTCATTTTACATGGTGGTAAAAACTGGACAATGACCCTGCAATTTACTGGGATCCAGAACAAACTGAAATTCCCCACTAATGGGAAGACACTTGCAAAGAAACTACCTACCAAGGGCTAGGACTAATGTGGCAGAGTAGCCTAAAAGTAGTGAACACCTCAGGGCAATTATCTTATTACGTATACACAGTGTTCCAAAAAAAAAAAAAAAAAAGTATACACAGTGTTCTAAAGTCCTTCAATCAGAAGATTTAGGAACATGGCAGGGAAAAAGTAAAATGGGAGGATTATATTAGTTTCACATTCTAACGGATACCAAGTTCAAGTTTCCCCCTTTAATAAAGGACTAAGAAGGATTATGGTTGTGGCAAGGTCAAGATTTTTAAGGCCACACTACAAAAGGCAAAGTTTTTGTGTCATAAGGGATAAAGTTCTGGCTTTGCAGACAGAATATATTCTCCTTGGGGACTTTTGGGGAGTGGTTCCCTTTCTACGATTTGGATTTTTTTGAAGCACCACTGTATTCATGCAGAGAGATTAACATAGGACCCCCTCTTAGAGGCTATTAGAAGGCCAAATGAGTGTGGCCTGGAGGAAAGGAGGACTGGGTTTACCTCAATCCCAAACTGAAGCCTAGGAATTGGGTACAAAGTCCAAGCTAAGGATGCTTCTGTTGGCTTTGTCCTGTGTCACTCACTCTCTCTTAATACCTAGCAAAAGCAGACACCTGGGTGGCTCAGCAGTTAAGCTTTGGCTCAGGGCGTGATCCTGGAGTCCCAGGATGGAGTCAGTCCCACATTCCAGCTCCCTGCGGGAACTTGCTTCTCCCTCTGCCTAAGTCTCTGCCTCTCTCTCTCTGTGTCTTTCATGAATAAATAAATAAAATCTTAAAAAAAAAAAAAAGAACTAACTAAAGGGACAATTCAGGGATCCTTTACCTGGCCACACTTCACAACTAATAGCACCCATGTTTACCCAGTTACAATGCTTACTACACTATTCAGTTATTGCCTATTAATCTATGTCCCCCATCAGACTTGATCTCTTATTCACCATTGTATTTTCAGCATATAGTACACAGCATGATCTATTATAATTACTCGATAAATGTTCCTGGGTGAATAAATGCTTTGGACTACAGTATTCCTGAGATCCTGCCTTAATTTACATTTACCCAAAAAACAGAGCTTCAGACAAGGACTTGGAAGCAGGTAGTCTATTAAGGAAGTGATCCTAAGAGGCTGGAATGAGGGACTAGAGAGAATGGAACAGAGGAGGGAAAGCCAGTATGTGTTGTGTTATTGTGGGCAATGAGGCTCAATCCGCCTGTGACTCTCTGAAAAACTGTTGAATATCCACTTCAGAACTGTCCCTCTGAAGTTGAGTATTTGTTTAGCTAACTAAATGTATACTTCTAAATCCCTTTGTTGAAGGTTGACCCTGAAGACATTAACTATTCCCACTCCATGCTGCAAAAAGCTGAGAGAGATTATTGGCTTCCAGTGGGAAGCCATCCTGTACATAACTATACCACAGCTGCAGCTGGTCAGAGATGAGCTGTGGGAAGAAGACAAAGCATCCGTAGCATCTACTACAAACCCCTGAAAGTGATGGAGAAACTAACAATCCTACAAGAATAAAATGTATTTGGCCCTAATGGTTCTGCTGCTTTACAGAGCTGGAAAGGGCCAGAAGACCAGGTTATTCCAATGAAATGACCTATAATGCAGACACAGTGTCCATCTGACAAATGAACCCATAACATGTCTTCCTGAATTAGTTGTGTTTCAAGGTAGTCAGTCATATTTGGTGACGGAAAGTTCTCTTACAAAAATTTGATTTTTTTATTTTGTTTTTTTTTTTAATTTTTATTTATTTATGATAGTCACACACAGAGAGAGAGAGGCAGAGACACAGGCAGAGGGAGAAGCAGGCTCCATGCACCAGGAGCCTGATGTGGGATTCGATCCCGGGTCTCCAGGATCCCGCCCTGGGCCAAAGGCAGGCGCCAAACCACTGCACCACCCAGGGATCCCCAAAAATTTGAGAATTGCAGATTCTGATATAATAATGAATCTAGACTTCTACTGTCCGTGAGAGTAACCACTTGCCACATGTGACCATTTAAATTTAAATTAACATTTAAAATTCATTTTTCAGTTGTATTAGGCATAGTTCAAATATTCCCTAGTTGCATATGGTTAGAGGCTACAATGTTGGACAATATACAGATAGAGAATTTCCATCTTTAGGATGCCTGAGTGGATCAGCGGTTGGGTGGCTGCCTTCGGCTCAGGTCGTGATCCTGGGAATGGGATCGAGTCCCACATCGGGTTCCTGCAAAGAGCCTGGTTCTCCCTCTGCCTATGTCTCTGCCTCTCTCTCTCTCTGTGTCTTTCATGAATAAATAAGTAAATCTAACAAAAAGAAAGAAAGAAAGAAAGAAAGAAAGAAAGAAAGAAAGAAAGAAAGAAAGAAAGAAAGAAAAGAAAAGAAAAGAAAATTTCTTTTCTTCCCCTGAAGGGAGTCCAGTGTGGGACTTGATCCAGGGACTCTGGGATCACGCCCCCAGCCAAAGGCAGACATTCAACTGCTGAGCCACCCAGGTGTCCCAGACATTTTTTAAAAAAAAGATTAAAAATATAATAAAAACAGCAACAAAAATTAAATCGGACATAACTAAAATTAAAAACTTTTATACATCAGGGACACCCAGGTGGCTCAGTGGTTTAGCACCGCCTTCAGCCCAGGGCCTGATTCTGGAGACCCTGGATCAAGTCCTGCGTCGGGCTCCCTGCATGCAGCCTGCTTCTCCCTCTGCCTGTCTCTGCCTCTTTCTCTGTGACTCTCATGAATAAATGAATAAAATCTTTAAAAAAAAAGCAAAAAACTTTTATACATCACAGATCCAAACAAGAAAGTGAAAAGGCAAGGCAAAGAATGGGAGAAAAATTTTGCAAATCATTTATCTGACAAGAAATTTATATCTAGAATATATCAATAACTCTTATAAGTCAAAAATAAAATGAGGGGATCCCTGGGTGGCGCAGCGGTTTGGCGCCTGCCTTTGGCCCAGGGCGCGATCCTGGAGACCCGGGATCGAATCCCATGT